TATATCATAATTCATATTTAGAAACTGTAACCCATTCGATTTATTGTTAGTTGACACAAGCCTATTCGCCGTTGTTACAGTATTGAATTAATAATTCAAGCGACTATCTTACACCGCAATAACTCTTCAGTAACCCATTTTATAATTATGATAATTCATTTGATTCAGTGAGATGGTTATTCGTGAATATAAGTTTAATTAAAAATATAATATGCTTGTCTGGAATGTTGACAATTGTTTATTTTAATCTGATACCTATTTGAAACTTAATTCATCCTGAACGATCCGTCTTTGTAGGTATAACAACACCCAATACTGTGAAAACACTCAATAAAACTTAGATTGCTGATAATAGATTACTATTCTTAACTTTTTGATAATCACATTCCACGAACTAATGTTTTATATCTTAAGAATATACTGATCCTTATTTTACGTTGGCAACAATTTGATATAAAATTATAGTAGCGAAGCTTTTATTTTTAGCTAATTAATTTTATATCCATTTAGGTATTTGCATCTTTTTCATAAGTTTTGACATTTTTCAGAACGATCCCAAATTAATTTTTTGTCTTAGTAATTTCCTTATTTATATTAGGTTTTTTTTTTATTGTCAATAATAGCCAACTTGTTACAAAGCCTTTAATTGATGAATTGTTTTCTACTAGTCTATTAAGCAAATAATTACTTTAATTTAGTACTTACATATTATTTGCAATTAAGGTTTAAAATAAAAACATACAATACGAAATAATTTTGTTTTATCTTCAAAGTAATTTACAAGTGATGCAGCTCACATCATTCAAAATTATAAAATATCCACAGAACATAATTATTAGCATATTAAAACTGGAAGTGTGTTCTTGTCACTTATAAAAATATTTATCAGAGACCAAAAGCTATCACTATTCATAGCATACTCGCATCTCGAGAATATATGTAAATTAGATCAAGGTTTAATCTCTAAAATATGTTGATGCAGTAAGTGGTTCACAGCTCGTAAACCCTAAACAAGCAGAATCTTATCTTGTTTAAAGGTTATTGCCACACCTTCAACAGCATCTTTACATAGATCAATTATTATTTTCAAGCTTGCATAAGAAAATAAAGAAGGCAATAAATACAACTAGGAATAGTTGTTCTTTTACTGAGAAACGGGAAATTGGGTGGCTCACGTAAGTTTGGATTGCACATAAATATACTTATATTTTAAACTGACGAAATCAGAGAAAAAGTCTTTTAAAGTATAAACTTAAGTATAAGCTTTATATAACTTAAGGCAGGCAGCAACCGTTGTTATTGTTATAAGATTATCATGAAAAATTCTTAATTCTCAATTCCACGTATTTCAATATGGCTGATGTAATAAAACACTTATTCACACAAATATATCACAGTATAATTTTGATACTAAATGTTGTGTTTTTTCAATTACATAGTTATGTATCTAAACAAATTTTTCACTAGAAAAAAATCCTCGTGGACCAGGCAGAAGACGGGGCTCGAACCCGCACCTTTCGCTATCCGGGCAAATGCACCGACCATTATGCCACTGCGGCCCAGATGGCCTTGTTGAATTTTCTCTAACCTTTCTTAGGGTGCCTGGCAGCGTCATCTCCTTCGGCTTCGAGGGATCGAGTCCCGTCTGCCGCCTAATCCGCGTGGATTTTATTTCTAGTAAAAAAATCATATGGATTTAAAAATCTAGCAGTTAAATGCTCAAAAATATAGTGGTATGTATCGCTCAAATTGTTAACCAACAATGATATTTCTTAGACGTGATATTTCGAGAATAGAAATTTCTAACATTGATTGTCATTTTGCACGTTTCTATTATTACTTATCCAGAAGATAAATTCTATTAAAAACTAAATTAATAATATTTCAACAAAAATTACAAAACTATTGTCTTCAGATATAATCGATTTAATACCTACTTTATACAAAGTTGTATCATAATTTTAATATACCGATCGAGTAAACGTGCTGCATAATAATATCTCAATTTCATATTGAAAGAAAACGAAAATCATCAGTTCTCTTAAATCAACAATACGTAAATTATAAACTACACCAACATTAATTTGGTTAACGAAGATGCGTCTGCTGATATTTTTACGCGGTTTAATGGTGTGTCATGGATACGGGTCGCGGAGGAAACATCAAGTATTGTGTTACAGGCTCACTGGTCTTTATCGGAGCAAAATTTCATTATACGTACCCCCATTCAATTGGAACACCTTCGCACAATTGGGAGGGTTGCCTCAATGGGTTGTCGGATGAAATTTCTTAACATTCTTCGCTTATAATGAGCGGAGCCTGTCGTGCAATAGGCAGCAGTAACGGTGTTATCCTATTGCGAAACGAGATCGACAGATATTAAGAAGATTAAAATCCGCTTAATGAACCCTTATAATAAAATTATACGTCGACTTTGCAGTAATCCTCGCTTAATTACTTTCTGTTAAAGTAAGTATTTTTAACCCATCATCAGACAGATTTGTTTTTTCAATATAATTTTTGAAGCTTGGAGTTTATAGAACGCTTAAAAATATTGATTCTTTCAAGTAATATTAAACAATAACTGCACTTATACTTATTAGTTACTACTAAGGATATATAATATTTACTTTTGTTTGTTATCTCAGTAGAAACAAGTTTACCAAAAACATTATTATCACGATAAAAAAATCTCCTACGAAGCTTGAGCGGACTTGTAGTGAATCATATAATGAAGACATTATTATAGAACCGGTTCAAATGACCGTCCGTTCTGGTTGAGTGCGACGACTTTTTCTTAGAATATAAGGGGCTGTGAACAGTACAAACTGGAATGAATCATTAAGCCCGGTGCTAGCAATAAAAATAACACAGCTTATATATAATAATCTAAAACAAATAACTACTAAGATCTTCACTTAAACGGGTACTAGACAAAAGAAAAATATCCATCTTAAAACATACCGTATTCCATATAATTTCGAATAAGCAGAAATTATTCCGAATCCCATTTTTCATTTTGCAATATGAATGCCACGTACTACACCGCATGATCCCAGAGGATACAAACAAAATAAAAAGCGAACACGACGGTTGCTGCCCTTTAAACATAATTTGAAAGAAGGGGATTTAAAATATTTACTCCAAAGGATCTACTGTCAATAGAACAAAAATCACTCATGCGATAAACCACCATCATTAATCATTTGAAATAAGATTTTGTAACCCTATACGACAACATACGAAGACTCTTTGGAAAGTAAAATTTTGATAAATGCCTTAACGTTTCCACCTAAAGATAATAATGAGGTGGATATTTAGATATTCGGAGTACTTCATTATGCAACAGTATGTTTATATAGTCATTGAGATCTCCATCAGTATCAGATCTCAAAGACATTTGCATATCAAATAAGTAATACATCCAAACAACTCAACCCCTTTCCTGTTCCCTTTTTTGAAGTTGTTATCTATTTAATTCATCTCTGGACTCTTTCAAGGGGCGATCCCTGACCGCATTCAGGGAGATATCGGTCACATGACGAAGGACCGACCACTGAGGTTCAGGTTAAATTTAGCAGAAGACATTTATTTATTCTGCGATATCCAGGATAATCATCTCCACGGGCAACTGAGTAGCGATTAAGGTCAGCCTGGTGATAATGTCACTAGCGGCTTGTTACTGGATAGGTACGGATAAAACTTATATATCAAATAAAAAACAGTCATCTAAGATTACTTCTACTTCATAAAATCGAAGGAAAACATTTTCATTTATTATTGATGAAAGTGTAACTTGAAATAAATGTCATATCTTATGACCAAATGACAGATTAACTTTATTATTAAAGAATGTATCTAATAACATTTCAACACAAAGAACGTCGAACATCTTCGTAATCCGCTAGATAACAATAAAAGCTTCAGTATTCCAGAGGCGATACAATACGCCATTTATGCAGATAACATCATCAAACTGTCGTCAGGCAAGGGTTGTCCTAGGTAATATCCATTCACGGCACAAACGAGAAATCCTTATTATGGCAATTAAAAACGTAATACATTCTCTCGGTCACCCACGACCCAGTAGCATATCGCCATGCGGTTTTCATTACGCGAGGTGTGCTTAACGCCATCGGTGGCTGCGTAATGGTCTTTACAACCATTACACAACCCCACATAGCAGATTTTTTTAATGTAAAAATCAACAAGCAAAAATTATCTTTCACAATACGAAATGGGCGTAAGTACTGACTGACGCTTATTCACTTCCCCATAATTTCTTTTATTGGTTCTATTTATTATGTTTCTATCCAGCAATCGCTGGGACATTTGCTGGTGACATTTGTTTTGTTATTTTTTCCTTGTGTTGCAACGGTCTCGTTGCTTTTATTATGTTTGCCTTAAATCTATAAATCACTTGTTATGAGTTTGGATATTATAGGTAATTACAATAAAGTATTGCTGAAATTAAAACCAACGAGACCTGAGTGTATAAGCACGAGCAGTTGTTTAGATGTAACTGCTTATCGATATCATAGAAAGTACGAGTAATTCTACTGCCGACATTATTTTCATAAACGACGAAATTAACAGCTCTTCAGAAAACGTCTTCGAAAGACACTTAATTAAAATTCAAAGCGTACGTAAATAAGCTGTTATCATATTAATTTGTTAAATACGATATTAATTATTGTAATTACGTTTTAGATTGGTATCGCGTTCGCGTGTGGCTTGAAGCGCTCGGCGCGGCGCGGCGGACGGACGGTCGAAACCGAAATTAGGCCTAAGTTAGGCCTAGACTTTGCAGCACGATACTAAAACGAAACGCTTTTCAGTAATCTACCTTGATTATGTTTGATAAAACAAAAAGTTGTCGTATTTATTTGGTATCGAAATGGCTCGTTTTATAATTCGTCAAATTACTGATATAATGACAAAGCAATTTGATTGTAATCGTGGGAATGAAAGTAATGGTTTTTTATTTCGTTTGTTTCCAGAGACACGTACCTAACAAAAATGTCTTCGGACTTATAGCTTCGCCAGTACTTTCAGTGTTTTAGTTAAGTGTTTGTGTTTTTTTTAATAATGCCTACCAATGTGCGGACTATGGATGCGTTATCCGTCGTGGTTCGGTGGTTCCTACTCCTGCTGATCGGCGTGGGGTGGCAGGTTTATTCCCAGACAGTGCAGACATCTGTAGTGGACAATTCGTATAACTTTTACTATGAACAGCCTTGCTGCACTGGAACTGTACCAAAGACCAAATATCACACGCGGCACAGGCGAGGTAAGTTTGATATTTAATATATAAGTTTCATTATATTTTTTTTAGTTTTTTGTTCGATAGATAAACATGTGAAGCACTTTGCAAAGTCCGTTCAAAGGATGGGTTATTTAAATTTTTACATTTCTAAGCAGAATCGGTATCACCTAGCCTAGACTATATATAGCGGTACTTTTTGACTTCATTTTTTTTGTGCCCTTGCAGTTTATGGATATATATTATATATTAGTACATTTAATTTTAGTTACTTAATGCCTGGTATGATGACGATGGTGTAATAATCGAAGAGATTAACATAGTAACTGTCCGTACGATGAAACATAGTCATTTTAAACTCTCCCTCGAAATGTGTACACTTCACACCATCACAGATAAAGGTGTCACAAACACATACAAAGTACAGACACTTTGAAGGGTACATGAGGTAAAGTAAGCCGAACATATCGGTTTGAAACTGTGCGAGCGGGACAGGACGACCCTTTTGTTTCTAGGCCCCTCAAAGATACGAGTTAATACTTTAACACAGTTGTAGTACACATTTCTTCTGGATCCATATTCAATAATTTCATTTTAACTAGACAACATATTTTATGAAAAAAATATTACAGTAAAATGAAAATTTAAATTAAAATGAAAGCTTATTTACAGCTAGCTATTACCTAAGTAAGTAATTATTTTTCATCCCACCACCTCGGAAAGTGTAATTTTGCGCTTCGAAATCTGGCTGGAAAATTCTATTTTATTCGCTTGAGCGGCAAAGTAGATTTGAATTTAGAACATCACATATAATGAGTACTCAATATAATTGTAAATTCAAAACGTCATTAAACCTATTTAATGTAACCTCTATGGTGCCAAATTTATGATTAGAACTTTTTAAATTGTGAAAAAATTTAAATTTGGAACCTTCTTGGTTTCTTTGTTTTATTTGCGTGCTTCGCGCCATTCTAGTTTTTCACGTTTTATTGCTTAATATAATTAACATAACCTAAAAACTGTACAAAAAAATCAACTAAAATGAGTGACATTAGCGACGATGAAGTTTATCTAACGCCAACTGAGTTAACTGAAACAGTTAATAATGCGCAAATGAGCCTTCTCCCTCAGCAATCACGAGAGAAGTATTTGAAACAGTACGATATATTTAACATGTGGCGACTAGCTAAAGGAGCAAAAACTTTCTCCGAAAACGTTTTGCTGGCATATTTTATAGAATTATCTGAGACCAAGAAAGCAAGCACGCTATGGAGTACGTATTCAATGCTAAAATTAACAATTAAGATGAAGAAAGACGTTCATATCGACACCTATCATAAATTAGTGGCATTTTTAAAAAGAGCCTCATCTGGTTATAAACCAAAAAAATCGAAGGTTTTCACAGCATCTGAAATTGCAAAGTTTATTAATGAAGCACCTGATTCCGTATATTTAGCGGCAAAAGTAAGTCAATACGTGTAATTTTTTGTTGTTGATAAAATTGTACATAGTACTTACAATATTTTTAATTTGATTAATTTATTTACGATTATAAATACTTCTTTTGTTACAGGTTGTTCTTATTATTGGTATAACCGGAGCATGTCGAACAAATGAACTTACACTACTTAATGTCAATAACGTATCAAAATATTCTCATAATTCTGATGAATTGCTATTAATTAATGTACTAAATACCAAGACAAAAAAAGACCGCAACTTCGTTATTCGCAAGGAATATGTAAACATTGTTCAGAAATATCAAGCTTTACGTCCTTCTAACACCCCAATTGAACGATTTTTTCTACAATATCGCAACGGAAAGTGTATCCGACAACCTATGGGTCAGAATAAAATTGGCAGTATTCCACGAGAAATAGCAACTTTTCTCGGACTTTTAGAACCCCCGTTATACACCGGTCACTGTTTTAGAAGAACCTCAGCCACACTTTTGGCCGAATCAGGGGCTGATCTTCTATCGCTTAAGCGCCATGGAGGCTGGAAGTCTAATTCGGTTGTAGAGGGATACATAGAGGATTCAATCCAAAGTAAATCAAAAATTTGTAATAGTATCGTGGAGGCCATAACGCTGAAAGAACCTCTGTCAGATTCTTGGTCTCGCCCTTCTACATCTAAAATGAGCCCCCATAAGATTGGAAACAATAGCCCTCTCTCGCCAACATTTACGCCAATAGAATCCAATGAATCGGCACAACTATTTAAAATTACTGATACGAGTAGTTTACCACAAAACAGCGCACAATTCACAAACACCAACATAACATTACCTAACAAAAATATTAAACTTAACATAAGTAACTGTAGCAACGTTACATTTAATATTTCTTAATTATTTTCTACTTCTTATTATTTTCTTCAATTTATAGATTATCTTAATGTGTTTTAATTGAAATAAAAATATTTTGTCATTATAAATTGTTTTCTTTTTCATTTTGTCATTTCCTCGCTGAGGTGGGATGAAAAGTTACGTATTGCACTCGAGTGGAAAGATTTTTCACCTTGTGCTCGTTTGTTTCCCTCGCTGACGCTCAGGATTCTAATTTAGAATCACTCGCTGCGCTCGTGATTCAACTTTAGAATCCTTCGCTTGCTCGGTCATCCAAATCGAGCACGCGGTTAAAAAGGAACTTTCCACTCTTGTATAATAAATAACTATAAATCCATTATCACGACTTGTGATTATATTATTTTATTTCAATAAATACACAAATTTTTGATGGATTTAATTATAACTTCGACTATAACACATACAATAATAATTCTGCCTCCCGTGTAATGACAATGTTGAAATATTAAACATACAATTTTGAGTTATTGACGCGTTCCGAATAAAATTAGGTACATAGTCATCAATATAATTACGATAGCGTAAAGTGTAGCACAAATGAAAATTGTGATTTAATATAATTTTAAATTCTGCTGATCACCTATTTAGTGTTGGTTTACAAATTTAAAGTTACTAAAATTGTATTTATGAGTTAAAACTATAGCAAATTGATAGCTAAAAATAAGTTACTCTAACAAACACAACTCCTTAATTTTATGACAGAAACAGAAACAACATGATTGACTAGCTTTTGTCCATGGCTTCGCTCGCGTTAGATTTGTTAACCCCTTTAGGGGGTGAGTTTTGGAAAATCCTTCCTTGGTGCACGTTTACATCATAATAGCTATTATGTGTTTCAAATCTCAGCGCAATATGTTCAGTGGTTTGAGCTGTGCGCTGAGATCAGTCAGCCAGTAATGGTGACCTTTTAGATGTACAGAAAATTTACCGAAAACGTCGTTGACGCATAGGCCTACCCTTATTGATCGAAGGCCTGTCCTAAGGATTTCCATGCTGATCCGTCCCGAGCTGTCAGCAATCAGCTACTATCCTTCTGATACACCTATCAGAAGGAAAGTCGCTGGATCCTCTTCCTAATGACCGCTATCCTATGCACGATCTATTTGAGAATCTTTCTTACTCAATGACTTTCGGTTTTCAGCTTGTATCTTGTCTGTTCACTGCAACTTCAACTAGACAATTCTTTGGACGATCGTTTTAGTTCTTCTAATACACGCATTTCCTCATTTCGGAATCTATAGTTCATGGGAATACCTGTATCTCTCTTTCTATTACGTTGCGGCTTCTTAAGGGACCCATAGTAAACGAACCTTTTCCATTCCGTAGGTCATCACTGGCGACTCGCACTGATCGGTGACTTTCGTCTTGAGAAACTGTAGTAAATAGAATGTGACTTTTACTTTCTCGAGCGCTACGTATCTGAACTGGATCCAAAGAATGGTCTCTTTCATAAGGTTGGACTAACCTAGCTAGTGTCTGACCAAGGTATACATAGTGATCAACTTCGAGTGTAGTATTTCCCAATATTGCCAATATTAACTGATTTTATTCTCATATAGCTCAGCTATGAATGATTGAAATTAATCGCTATATTATTAGTAAAATTCAGCATGTAGTAACAGTGCTTGATTACGGGCAAACGCCTTTTACTAATAAACCACCAAACCATAACAAAGTCTACACCGCGGCTGGCTGTCTGTGTGTTCGTAATCTCAAAATAATCAAAACTGATTTTTATGCAGTCTTCGCCATCAATTATAACATCTCAGTTCGGTTATGTATCTATAATCCATGTCCGAGAACAAAAACTATAGTCACAGTATTATACCATGTATCTATTACATCAGTACTAAGCTAAAGCCATCACCGAAGCGCAGTGGGTACCGGTCATTTATCATTATCACACTAATGTTATAAAGGCGAAATTCTGTGAGTGTACATGAGTGTGTACTTTTCTTACTTCTTCATATCTAATCAAAGTCAAAGGCTGGAGCGATTTCAATAAAATTTGGTATAGAGTTATCTGACACCCTGGATTAACACATAGACTACATTTGACTGCGGGAAAGTATCCCTAATAAACCGCGCGTAACACCGCGGGGAACAGCTAGTTATCAATAAAGAGAAATAAAACAGACCTCTTTAGTTTATACATTGACAGTGCCCTCATTGAGACTTCGCCGGTACCATTTGCTACTGGACTAATCCGCTACTGTGTGTGCGTGGTCACTCTCCACCTAACTATTAATGCGAAATTTACCACTTCCATTAAACATCACGAGCTTAAACAGTTTGGGCTTAATGAATTTCGAAAGTTCTATCATTAAGCCTCGTTACACTTAATGAAAATCCACTGATACAACGTTTGGCGTATGTTTGATTAATGCTAAAACCTTTCTAAGTAGATGTTGTACAATATCCAAACAACACTTGATCAGTTATTAATTCAAACTTGGGGAATGTCTTATGTTTCAAATGGTTTGATAACATATATTAAATTTGTTATTTTAATTGAAACATACCCATTGATTGGAATGAATTGTCATCGAAAATGAAATAATATTATATAAAAGTCATTGAAATCTGTTCAAAATAATAATTAGAGTATAAGCAAAGCTTCAGTCTCTCTGATATTTAAAGTTTGCGAATGCTAATGAAT